TCTTTCCCAGTGGAACTGGAGCACTAGACTGTGAACTTTCTTTGCACTCTGCTGCTCAGGTTTCCCACGAGTCCTTTTGCTGTTGGGAGTTTGGAGCTGATTTACAGGAAGTGTGGGAATGTGGTGAGAAGGAATGGAACTGTTTTCACTAACTTACGGAAATGTGGGACACAGCCCTGGTGAGTGTTGTGCATGGGAGACCACCAAGGAATACCTGGGTCTCTACGCAGAGGCAGGTAATGGCAAACCACCTCTGAACATCTCTTGCCTTGAAAACCCCACGGCGACAGTTTGATGGCAAAAAAATGTGCTGTGTAGCTCCTTAACTAAAATGCCTTTGATCATCTGAAGGTGACACAGCACCATATTACTAATAATTCAGGCTAAATCCCCCCCCTCCCCAGTTTAGTGGCTAACACTTGAATGGGCTTCAGAGAGCAGGTGCGGTGTAGTGGTTAGAGCGCTGGGCAAGGATCCAGGAGACCTGAGGTTCAAAGCCCCACTTTGCCGTATGGGGGGCTTGCTGGGTGACCTTGGGCCAGTCACACATTCCCAGCCTAACTTTGATTACAGAGTGACTGTGAGAATAAAATGGAGGTAGAGAGAATGATGTAAGTCACTCTGGGTCCCCTTCAAGGAGAAACACGGAATATAAATGAAGAAAATAAAGTTTTGTTTCAGATAAGGAGGATTTGAAATAACCAAGATGTGTAGCCGTGTTTGTCTGTCTGTACCGCAGAAAAAAGAAAGAGTCCAGTAGCAACTTAAAAGACTAACAAAATTTGTGGCAGGTTATGAGCTTTTGTAAGTCACTGCTCACTTCTTCGGATACCCAGTCTTCAGATACCAAAGAGTCTGAAGAAGTGAGCAGTGACAACAGCTCACACCCTGCCACGAATGTTGTTAGTCTTTAAGATGCTACTGGACTCTTGCTCTTTTCTATGGCTACAGACAGACAAACACGGCTACCAATCTTGGTTATTACAAATCCTTCTTATCTGAAACCATCCTTATTCATTTTCTTACTCTTTTCTATTGAAATGACTAGGCAACGGAAGGGTCAGTTTTATATTCAGTTGTGATTCTATTACTTTTTTTTATCCTGTCATTCCTGTGGGAAGCTCAGAGAAGCATAGATGGGTCCCTCTTCATTTATTCTCACAACAACCTAGTGTAATTCGCTAGTCCAATAGAAAACAGCTGGCTTAAGGTCACCCAGGTCAGAATAGGGACTTGAACCTGGGTCTCCCAGATCCCAGTCCGACACTCTAACCCAGAGGGGTTGAACTCATTGGTTATGAGGGCCGGATCTGACATAAATGTCACTTTGTCAGGCTGGGCCATGTGTGCCATGAAATGTACTGCCAGGTACCAGAGGTATAACCTTTATAAAGGACACAGGCAAACCCGATTAACGATATTATTTTTACTCAAAATACAAACATGCTTTAAACATTAACACAGTACTTCCTTACAGTATCTCACTGATGCCCACCCTCCCACTTCCACTGCCCGTTCCGCATTACCACTGGGACAGTCTACAGGGACATAATGCCCAGCCTAATGATCAGTTGCTCACGGGCTGGATAAGAGTTCTGAATGAGCCGATTCTGTCCCGTGGGCCGTATGTTTGACACCCCTGCTCTAACCTCTCTGCCACACTGCACTGGCATGGCCAAATGTCGGAGGGAAGGGTTCATCATTACAAGCAGATTGAGAGCAAATCATGGGAGCAGGTGCAGGGTGAAAGTGGATTTCTCTGATGGATAGCTACAGCAGAGCAGATGCCTTCTGCTCACCTCCTTTCCTGTATCATGAGCACACTGTCTCTTCTCATTGTCTGTTATCCTCTTGAGAAATGGGATTACGTCATCTAGGCTTTTTTGTCGTTTAAGAGAGAAAAAAATGTCCCTTCACTCTTAAATTGCTGCAGAAATGGATTCCTTTAAATGCTCAGGGGATTACTAAACTAATGGCCAAGGTGAACAGATGGGGGGGGGGGAAGAATGTTAAAATCAGCCACATGGCTACTCCAGAGCCACCTGGCCAGGTCCCTTTGAGCTGCTTTTCTGCAGATGGAGGCCAAGCAGATGGAGCCAGCTGTAAGAAGTAGGGAGGTGGACTCTAATCACACAGCACACTGACTGGATGAAGGCTGGGATGGCTGTCAAACACTAGCCTTTATCCTATTAGGCAGAGGATTTGCTGGCAAGGACTTGACCAGGACTCGGGTATCATTCCCACACAGGCAGAAACATCTTTCTATATCTGGGATCTAAAGCCCTGGGATTGACTGCACTTCAACTGAAGGGAGAGGGAGTGGGGGGGGGGGGGCTCAGAGAGATCCATGCTCGGATTGTCAGTGCTGGAATTCTGTGACACAAACATACATCAAGGTAACTGGAACTCTGAGTGGCCTCAAGAGTGAACTACACCCTTACCTTTTCAGGACCACTCTGCTGGCCATGAGATTAATTTTAATATACTACAGTCTGCTTTTAGTGGCTCTTAGACATTTGCTTTATTTAGACCCTTACTTTCTCTCCAATGGGGACCTAAAACACCTTGCCCTCTTCTCCCCTCCATTTTAGGGCCAAACTACATGTTTGGGTTTTGAAAAGAGTTGGGTCCAGGCTTCCCAGACCCAGCTCAGGTTCCCCACAGCCACTCAGTAACTGCAAGGAATGACTTTTAAAAAATAAGTGCCCAGACAATTTCAGAATGCCACTCAAGGGGGAGAAAGGGTTCTTCCCCACCCCAGAACCCTTTCCCCGCACCAAAACAGTGCGCGCGGGGGTGGTGGTTGTTTCCTGTTTTTGCTGCTCCAAGTGGAATATTCTGTGCATGGCTTTTTTGCGTTGTTTGGGGGGGGGGGAGGTGCCAGACTCTCAAGAGGGAAATCTGTATACTGAAAACTCATGAACTTTTAAACATTTTTAAAAGAATTTCGTCGAAGAGGTTCCAGAACTCCCCAGAAAAAAAAGCATGTGGAACAATAAAAAACACAGAAATCCCCCTCCACACACACACATACTGTTTCTGAGCAGGGAAACAGCTTTGGGGGGGAAGGTAGGAGCTCTTCTTCCCCCTGTGGCAATGTTCCAAGCCTATTTCAGCTCTTCTTTATTTTTAAAAAAGCCATTTCTCACAGCTGTTCTGTGGTGACTCGGCAGAACTCTTAAGAAAACCAAAATGTATGGCCCTATAATCTTGTGAGGTATGTTAGACTGAGAGTTTGCGTGACTGGCCCAAGATCATCCAGCAAGCTTCTATGGCAGAGTGGGGATTCAATCCCAAATCTCCCAGATCCTAATCTGACATTCTAACCAAGACACCACACTGAAAGACAATGGTAATCCAATTTTCAGAAGATTCCTGGCTCCATTCAACTACTCAGGCTAGAATTCAACAAGACAATGCCAGGAGATAATCTCATCCAAGGTCGATTGTTCATGAAACCACTACTGAACTGGAGGCAGCCAGGAAAGGACCTTTAATTACCTGCTGCTATTAGTTGTTGTAGATTTTCCGGGCTGTATGGCCGTGGTCTTGGCATTGTAGTACTTGATGTTTTGCCAGCAGCTATGACTGGCATCCTCAGAGGTATAACACTGAAAGATGGAGTACTCTCTATTGCCATTATGTTCTGGAATCCAATATCTTCACACAAATGCCCTCATTCAGCCAGGAGGAGGCAGGAGAAGAGGGAGGGTAAGTTGCTTCCTCCCCGCCTCTCCCCACCCCTGCCTGCCTGGGGCCAGGGAGGGCCTTGGCGCGGCTTCCTCGCACTCCTGCTGGCCTTGCCGGGCCCCTGATGTCAGGGGGTGTGGCATATGCTAATGAGTTATGCTAATGAGTTCCCCTAGCTCTTTTTCTACGAAATGACCCCTGGTTGTTATAGATTTTCCAGGCTGTATGGCCGTGGTCTTGGCATTGTAGTACCTGATGTTTTGCCAGCAGCTATGACTGGCATCCTCAGAGGCATAACACTGAAAGATGGAGTACTCTCTATTGCCATTATTTCCTGGAATCCAATATCTTCACACAAATCATATTCACAGGGCAATCCTATACAGATTCACACCCTTCTAAGCCCATTGTCTTCAGTGCATTTCACAGAGTGTAACTTGGTTTAGGATTGGACTGTCAATCTTAGATTGCTTATGCATGGTGACGATTCCCTCTTTTGACCTCATTGCCCCTGTGAATGCAAAGGCACAGGCAAAGATACAGAACCTCGGCACATGGCAGTTCCCCGTTCTGTTCCTACCCACCACCTATTCTCCACTTCCTAGCATCCAGTAGGCTTTTGTTGCTGGTTTAAAAAAAATAAAAAATAAATCAGTAGTTTGTGCAGCGTTTTAACATTTTAGTGAACTATTTACTTCTGACAAAAAGCCTTCTGGTAGTGGAGGAAGGAGTGGTGGGCATGAGGGAGAATGGACCTGGATGCATCTTTCCTTCCACTTTCCCCAAACCCTTTTTCAATATTATATTTTAGGAAAGATTATACAAAAGTAGGTTTGGGGAAAGCTATAGCTGAGGGGGCACAGGAAAACCTAGAAGGGGGGCATTTTAGTTGAAGCAACATTTCCAGGAAACAGGTTTGCAAAAAAAAAAGGAAATTACCTCCAGGCAACCAAACAAGGAAGTTCTTGTAATCCAGAACAGTTGATGTTTATTCGCCCTTTTGCCTGTCATTTGTATACAGTACAACAATTAACTGCCATACGTATGTAGCAGAAGGCACACTGTTTAAAACATTTTGTAGTCTCTTTGGACTTAACTGACAAGACTAATAGAACTAGAACATGAGCTTCATTGC